CCATTAATTCTTTTGCGTAGAGACTGTCCGGTTTGGCCAATGTACGTGGCAGAGGGGTGTCGGAGAAAAACTGAGTTCTCACTATTTTTGTTTAGGTGCAGCAAGTCAGACGCTTTATTAACTCTCACATGTGCAGAGGAGAGAGCAAAGCAGGTCTCTCTCTGGTAACTAATTACAGCAAGCATTTATACCTTTCATTACAGAAATAATGAGGGACAGCAGCATTTTGTTTATACATAGGCCATCTTGATATCTCATTTCCCCACTTGTTTTGACTCTTGCCTACATACAATTAGTTTCTATACCTTATCTACACAAGGTCTTCTACCCCTTATCTATACTGAGGTCACAATGACTTCTTACACAGCTCTTTCTCACCCGTCTCACACAATCCTCACTTCTACAAATCTCACGTTATCAGGGTTATCAGGGTCACAGCTAGCCTGACTCTTGCTAACAACCATCATGCATTGCAGTTCCCTTCTACGAAGCCTGACTCTTGCTAACAACCATCATGCATTGCAGTTCCCTTCAGTCAGTTCTTTTCTCTGCTTCCACAACCCTAATTCATCCTCTCAGAGGTGGCACATACCCAGTGGAGACTGTTTGACTCATGTCACAGCAAAAGCTCTTTCCTGCAAGCTGGAAGAAGATATAAAAAGGGGAAGTGACAGCCTCACTTGGCCTCACTCCCCTTACAACTCAACATCTGGAAACACCTTAGGAACAAAGACTGAACTTGGGAAGGGGGTCCCAAGCAGGAAAGAAGAAAGCCTGCTTGTGTATGAAAGGTTGGTGGACTGTTTGTATCTATTTTCTGTAGTTAATACGTTGATTGTATATATTATTTTTACCTAAAACAATGTGTTTTGCTAAAAGTGCTTAGGGAATCTGTTCAGGAACAAAAGCTGGTGCATTGTCCTCTCCAAATTGAGAGAGGGGCAGACTGGGTAATAAACTTACACTGGTCAGGCTTTTGACCAGGGCAAGATGGTACAGCTCTGGGGCCCTAGGCTGTGGAGCTGGGGAGAAATGGCTGGAGCCTCTCTATCATTAGTTCAGGAGTGGCTGAGGAGAAGCGTTCATGCAACTGCAGCTGGGTGTGTCCCTGACTGTGTAAATGCTTGTGTGAGCGCAGGGTCGGGAGCGATCAGCAGTTTGTCACAACCTCACAGTGAGCAAGGGAGCCCAGGCTCGTGAGAGAAAAGACTCAGCGGTACCCCAGTTCCAGGTTGCACCCCAGGGAAATCCATCACAAAGCTTCTGAGAGTGGCTAATAGGTTTGTGCATCGGCAGTGGTGGGATTGGAAGTCATGGCTCTAAAGAAACTGGAGCCTACAGCATCCATCTTAGCTTCAGTACTGGGACTGCTTGCTACCATTTCTCCTTATGTTGGCATAATGGTGGGTTTCTCGCCTATCATGCATAAGGTCAATGGCTCAAAGCTCAGAAGAGGTTGTTTTTGACAATGACTCAGTTTAATTCTATTTCTCTTTGGGAAGCATCAGGTGGTTCCAGCTGGACTCCCCCAGCCATCAGCAATGTTTTTGGGGCTGGCAAAGACTGGAGTCCCTCCAGCTCAGTCTCGGACACTAGCCAGGCCCATTCACTTCAGGGGAATGAATTCCTCAAATAGAAGAATTATAGAAAAAATTGTTCAGAGGCAAAGATTATTCATCAGTTAGTGACTGGCTCATGACCTGAAGCATGAAGGTTTATATCTTTGTGTAGGTTCCAATTTTGGGAGGGAAGTGGAGGTCTAGTGGGTTAGAGCAAGGGAGGAAGGGAATCAGAACTCCTTATTTCTAACCCTGACACTTTGAGGGTAGTGGGGCCCAGTGGGTTAGAACAGGGTGGATGAAAGTTCAGGCCACCTGGGTCCATTTCCCAGCTCTTAGAGGTGAGTGGGATCTAGTGGGTTTGAGCATAACCACAGGTACCTATCAGGACTCCTGGGTTCTGTCCCAACACCAGGTAAAATGTTGAGATTGGGCTTGAAAGCACAAAGAACCTCACTGGAAAACCACAACACATTTCCAGCACACACCTTAGTGTTCACAGGCTTACATTCTGTCCATCCCCATTGTGACAAAACACGACAGTGATTGCTTTGCAGGTATCAGGTTTTATGGAGCATAGGGAGCACAGAAAGTTACAAAAAGAGGGGAAATGTTTAAAAATGATGAAGGGGACAATGAGAAATAATTGTGAGGAATCTGAGGACTATCCATTATCAGATTGAATACACAACACCAGCAGGATGAAATTGATAGATATTTCTTAATTAAAAGAAAGGGATTTTAGATGGCCACTGTGTGGCAGCAGGTAGTAAAAGGGAGGTAAGTGTTTGCTTTAATATAGAATAGAAAATAGGGGCAGCAGAGGGTGGGGGTGGGGAAGAGGTGGCTGTACTGTATAATTGGCACTAGGGGGCAGCAGAGGGTGGGGAAGGGGCGGCTGTACTGTATAATGGGCACTAGGGGGCAGCAGAGGGTGGGGAAGGGGCGGCTATACTGTATAATGGGCACTATGAGAAGTAGCAGGTAAAGGATGGAAACACCTAAAGAAACTGACTCGTGTGCAGAGGCGGGTGAGGAGCCAGGTGCCACGTCTGGAATGGAAGGGACAGAGTGGGATTAGAGGGAGCAGCAGGGTCCCTTGGCTGCCCTCTATGCACAGACTGGGCCTTTCATCTACTCCTGAATAGCTACAGGGAACCCATATATGCATCTGATGACAATTTTCGTGCACATCCCTAACCCGGTGTAATGACCGGACATGCGGTTAAATTTGCACTTGGTGATTTGGAAAAAATATTTGCTCTGATAACAGCCATCCCCGAGGTATTCCCCTTCCCCACGGCAGACATTTATGATCTTCTCAATGGGTTCATGGATGAAGGTGTGTTTCGGCTTCCCATATAGTCCCAGATTCCACATCATCATGTCGCAGTAGGTGCTCTGGTTGGAGACTTCGGTCTTTGGATAGTCCCAGTGTTCCCGCAGGAATTGTTCGAATGGTGGAAACCATGACTGCCCGCTGGCCAGGGCCATGTCTATCACTGGATCGAACTGCAGTGTGGGGAGATGGATAGAGTCAACGTGAGGTGAGAATCTACTTCCTCTGTGGAACTTCTGTGACAGCCTGTACACCATGTTTGCCCCTTTTTAGAATAATGGTAAATTTTGTACTTCACAAGGTATGCCTTGTGAGATATTGTTTGAACATTCATAATCTGCTGATCATCATTATCATGGTAAAATATATGTAACAAGATTGTAGGAAGAGTTGTAAGGTTTTACTGCCTAACAATGTTCATGACATATTCCAAGTGTAGAAAAGCAGGCACAAACCAGATTTTGAGCTGGAGATGGTTCTTACGTAGCAGCAGCTGGCACTGACTCTTGCACTAGAGAGGGAGCTATAAAGCCATGGTCCCAAATTCCTTCTTCTCCCCTTTCTCTAAGCTCAAGACCTCACCAAAGCCTAGAGAAGAAGGAACTGAACATTGAACTGCGGGAGGGGTTCTGACTGAAAGGCATGCACTCAGTAAGATGTCCAGAACACATTGCGAGAGAAATTCTTGCTTTAAATTCATTTAGCTTTATAATTTTAGGTATTAGAGTGCATTTTTCTTTTATTTTCTTTGTAACCAATTCTGATTTGTATGCCACATTAGTGATAGTCGCTTACAATCTTTCTTTCAGTAGTTAATACATTTCATTTACTGTTTCATCTAAAGCAGCGGGTTTGAATTGAAGTATTTGAGAGGCGTTATTTAAGATAACAAGATTTGGGCATGTCATTTCCCACTGATGACATGAGGGACCTTAGATGGGCTTGCACTGCACAGTGAGTGGGCTGGGCATTACAAGATGCACATTTCAGGGGGAAAAGGAAGCACTGGGGAATTTGCTAGTCCAGATTGGACCCTGGGGAATGTCACAACCTCCCAAGCCCAAAGCCCTCTGTGACGAAGTGGGGGGTTTTCTTGTTTTCTGTGGAGTTTCAGTGGTTTGCATGCGGAGGGGGTGGGACTCAGTTTCCCTGGGTATTACTGGTTTAACGAGGTGAGGGGAGAGGGAGTGTGTTTTGCCGAGGACCGGAGAGAGGACTTGGGGACCCAGCCAATGGCCTGAAGGATGGATATCCCAGCGACCGGTGACCCGGAGGCCCACCTGAGGAGACGCAGACAGTTCTGGCCAGTGGGCGGTTTACGACCCTGTTTCCCTAGAGAGAAGACAATGGACAGAGGCGGGGCCTGGGGCCAGGGATCTCAGATGCCCAGCTGGGAGCAGGGTGGCTCGGGGCTGGAGAGGGGGCACAGGCAGAGCCCACCTGGATGCAGAGAGACTGGGATGTGCTGGGCTGGGGAGGCCAGGCCTGAGGCCCTGAGAGTTTCCTGTGCTGTGTTCAACTCTCAATAAACCCTCCTGTTTTATGCTGGCTGAGAGTCACTCCAGTCTAGAGAACAGGGTGGCATCAACCCCTTTGGGGGTGGAGGCCCGGGGGGGTCCAGAGCGAGTGGACTCCCTGAGGGGGCCCACGGCGAGAAACAGGTGTGCTAGGGCTCCAAGAGGTGCGGCTCCAGGAGGTGGAGGGACCTGACCCCAAGATGGAATGGACCCCCGAGAAGGGCTTTCTCACTGAAAGGGGCAGCCCCCACGGACCACACGGGGCCCAGAGTGGGCACGATCTGTGAGTCTGTGACACCCTCACCTTCCCATGATCCCCTCTCACCCCACTCTTCCCCCCGCAACCTCTCTCATTATTCCTGTCCCATTGTGCCAGGTGCTGCACAGACCCCAATTGAGATCAGCCCCACACGGCCCACTGTTCCCCACTCCCCACCAAGAGGTGGAGATAGAACCCAGGAGTCCTGACTTCCAGCCCACACCTGCTCTAACCACTAGCACATGCTGCCTCCCAGAAACCAACCCTGCAGTTGTAACCCCACTGTTCTCTCCTCTGTCCCAGCTGGTGGGAATCTCCTGCAACTTACCCAAGTCCCTGGTTTTTCACTGTCGTCAGAGTGATGGACCCCAGCCTCTGCGGAGACAAATCTCACCCTGATCCTCCGTCCCGTCTTGAAGCGGGTTATATAGAGCCCTGCCAGTCGTGGAGGTGGGAGAAGTGGGAGGGGAAATGCAATAAACTGTTGGGTCAGCGCAATCCTGCAACAGCTGATTATTAAAAGCAAGGGCCCAGCAGGCAGAGTGCGGGTGGGGAACAAACAGCACATGTCCTGCCAGAGGCATGGGCTCTACAGAAACATCAGTAGGTGTGTTTCCCTTCAAGCAAGTGAAGGTGCAATTGTAGCACAGGTGGGCGTGTCACGCCAGCTTTCATCTGACAAGCGTGGGTAATAATAGCTGATAGCACAGACTTCACTGTGGTCTAGCTGGCTCAGTACTAGCCTTCCAGGGACTCTGGGTACCTACCTTGGTTGCCCTCTGGGCTGCAGTCCAGGCCAACATGTCCCCACTGCTGTAACTTGCCCCCTTTTTTGAGTATCCTGAAAGGGAGTGATGGGTGAAATGGCTCCTCTCTTCATTAGTTTGGCCACCAGTTAGGCCTAATTTCCCACACACCAATTTTGGCCTATTGATTTCCAGTCCTGCACTGCTCCTGTTTACCAGGCAAGATCTTAACACAGACCTTGATTGATATCAGGGGGCCTGTTTGTTTAGGCTAATTCAGTCTGTCTCACTTTTGCACCTTTCCCCATCAACCTTTATTGTTACATGTGATAGGAAGGTTCGTAAACTTTCACTCTTCACAGTTGATCTTAAAATTAGGCTAAATTTGCAGGTCCAATTATTACTACAGGTTCCCATCCCCCACAGCTCTGCTGGTGCCCCATAGTCAGTGGCCCAGCAGGCAGGGCGTGGGTGGGGAACAAACAGTACATGTCCTGCTAAAGCCCTGGACTCCACATAAATATCTAATACTGCATCTACCCACCAAGTATAGATGTGATTGTAGTGCGGATGGGCACAACTGGGCCAGGTTGAATCTAGCTAAGTTGGGCAATGGTAGTGGGTGGCACAAACTTCACCATGGGGTGTCCACCCCAGTATCAGCCCACCAGTGACGCTGGTAAGCACTCTGGTGGCCACCCCAGGTTGCAGTCCATGCCAACATCTGCCATCTGCTATTCTTACCTGTGCTAACTAGATTAACGCTAGTGTAAGAATGTCCACCCGTGCTGCAATCACACCTTCGTTTGCTGTATAGATGCACCCTGAGTCCTGACCCACTGGCACCTTCCTAATCCAGTCCTAGCCTGGAAACTCACTGCTCTGCCGGTGCCCTCCTCCCCAATCTGGACCCACAACTGCCTGCTATCCCAGCCTGGGCTCTGTTTCAGTCATTTATATGGCATATATAGACCCAGAGAGTCAGTGCAGTTAATGTGACCCTGTCCCTGACCAAGTCTGAACCATGTTAAACAAGGTCTGGGATTTGGTATCCAGAAGCCTTGGCCTGCTCAGTTCCAGGGCAAACACATCATTAACAATCCTTTCACTGTTTTATTAAGGGTACAGAAAAGAAGGACAGCTCAAACCTTTGTAAAGTATCAAGGTTTTTATTTTAACTACATCCCTTGTTCCCTTTCCCAGTAGTTGGGAAGAGGTTTCAGAAGGAAGATCTCCCTGTCTGACAGTCTCACAAATGGTATTAAAGATGGTGGTAACTGTCCCTTGGGGACAAAGAGAAGTAGTTAGTTGTGATGGGCTGGAGCTGTCGTTGTTGCTGTTGTATTTACAGTCCAGTCCTGTTTCCTAGAAGACAAAACACAACAGACACACACAGGACAGGGCAAAGAGAAGAACGGCAAAGAGAGAAAATGCAGCTGGGTTTTAGCAGGAGCTGATGGAGATGGCCAAATCAGTGGGGTCCCTCTCTATGGCCTGGTTTGGTCAAAACATCTCTTGGAATTAGGATGAAGGAGGCCAAGTGGTGTCATGTTGGACCCTGTCCTCCGAAGAGATGGCCAGGCTGGCAGCCATGATGATAAAGCTCACTCCTTCCTCATCATTCGGTCAGCAATTGTTGCATTCGCTTCCTCTTCTCTGTCAATTTTTCTCACAAACTTGTCCCCTTTTTTGAGGACCCCAAAGGAACTGATGGGTGGAATAGCCCCTCCACTCATTGTTTTGGTCACCAGTGAGACCTAATTTCCCACAGACCAATTTTGGTACATTGATTTCTGCTCCCTAATTTCTCTTGTTCACCAGGCATGATCTTGACATGGGCCTTGAATGATATTACGGGGGCCTGTTTGTTTGGACTAATTCAGTCTCTGTCTCACTTTTGCACCTTTCCCATCAACATTTATTGCTATGCGTGACTGGAGATTTTGTCAACTTTTACTCTGTAGAGTTGATCTTAATATTGGAGTACATTCTCAGGCTCAATTATTACAACAGCTCTTCACCCCAACTCAGCTGTGCTAGGGCCCCTCAATCCCCATCCGCATTCTTGTGGATGTCATGAAAATTAGGGAGAAACTGACCATCTAAATGGCCTTTGTGCTTTGAAATTGGCAGACAGAGCACATGTACTCCTAGATCTGCTCTGTCATTAGTATAGTAGAGAGCAGATTAGCCAGATTCCGGTAGATCAAATCCTCAGCACAAATTAAAAGTGGCCCCTGAAAGGCGTTAACTCACAACTGCTGATCACCAGAACTACCGCTTGACCCATTGGGCACTGGAGCCATTTGCAGGTGGTAGCAATGGAATAATACGACAAGGGGAGATGTCTGTACTGACGTAGATTGCGCATCCGGGCATCTAAATGATACGTTCTTCTTTCCCTGCTGGATAAGAGTGATTCTCTGAAGAGAGAAGAACTCCCATTGTATGCCGTTGAGTGTCTGGCCTATCTCTGAGGGGCAGAAACGTACCCTGGGAATTTTCATATTAATAGATGGGAAGAACACAATGAGAGAGAGGGGGATTGAGAGATGGGGATTGGAACCGAAGCCATGTCTGGAGTTTTTCAAGGGATCAGTTTGTTGGGCTGGAGTATTGGTTTGCTCTCCCATTGGCTCTGGGCAAGGGAAGGAGGGTGGTGTGTGGAAAGGGACATAGAGGAATACATGGAGATACACACTCAAGACACAAACACACATAAGAGACAACACCAGAGAGAGACGAGTCTCTTGACTCACACAAGCAAGAGACACACCCACAAATCACAAACACGCACAGAATAAGTATAACACGAGACACACAAGACTCACAGAAAGCCGGGAATTCAAATACACACAAGAAACACACCAAAGCAGGAGACATGGGAAGATGTGACTCACAAAAGCCGCGGTTTGGGGTTTTCCTTTTTGGGCAGTGAATACCTGTAGAAAGGTGATTGTACCACTATAGCTTGTTGCTGTCAATAGAGCGGAACAAACTACACTTCTATAAACCATGGCTGTACTGATATACATGAATCTGGCACTAGGGTTTGTACTGTAAATTGGTATAAAAACTGCTCTCTTTCTAACATCCATCCGCATTCACACTCATTTCTCTCCCTGACTCCATCCATCTGTACCCAGACACATCCATCTCTCTACTTACATTTCATTATGGGAGACTCTGAAGACTGGCAGCTGCTACAGGAAAAAGGGAGGTTTGCATTGCCATGAGGATTATTGCCCAAGCGTTCCTGGCTGGTATAACTGGTGGAGACGCCACGCTGGAGATGGGCCCACCAGATGTTATTAACATGCAAATTGGGAGTTTTAAAAGCTTCTGAACTAGTTAGTGTCATAGTTTCACTCAGGCTGGCCCCTTTTACAGTCCTTCAGTTCAAATTTGTCCACTCATCTTCTAACAGGAATTGGGGGCCTGCGCTGCAGGGCTGGGATTCAGGGATCCTGACTTCTATCCCCTGCCTCAGGGGTGAGGGGGGTCTCAGGGGTCAGAGCAGGGGGGGCTATGAATCAAGGTTCTTGGGTTTGGGGCTGTGTCTCAGAAGGGAGTGGGTGTAGCCCTTTGAGTGTGTGGAATTGTGACTCAGCACTCCTGGGTTCTTTCTCTAGTTCTACAGGCACTTGGTCACGGAGGTCTCACCTTTAATGTTCTCTTCAGAATAGGGGCTTCAAGAATTAAGCTGTGCCAAAGTGGGCATTTAATCTTATTATATTGTATGTGAGTGTAGCAGGGCAGAGGTGAACCCCACGGATGCCCTGCTAAAAAGGCTGGCCGCACCCTGCTTCCTAGCAGAGTGGTCAAGTGCAGGGGCCCATGGGATCATATCCAGCTCTCAGGCATCATGTGCTGAGTTCTCTTGAATTCAGCTCCCTTCCTCAAAGTCCATGGGGCATATGGAGGTACAAGAAAGGTGAGACTGGAGTGAAATTCTTCAGTCTCTCAATCTCAGGGGAGTTGTAGATGCTCAACAAACCTGAACCAATACCAACTGTAGTCCAGTTGTACGCTTCTCTAGCCATAGTATTCAAAATGTACCAATCGGCAAAGGAAGAATAATGCTACGTGCCAAATTATTAGGGTTTGATTTAAGATTATTCACTTTGTATATTTTGACATGAGATGCAGGTAATATGTGTTTTGAATCTCAACTTCTACTGTCACTAAATAATTATTGTCTGCCCCCCCACCCCTTTTGTCTAAAATTGCCCCACAATTTCCCACTACTGTGGAAACTGAAATAAAAGAAAATTGAAAATTTGCTTAAAAAAAACATTGATCATTTCATGTGAAATAACTAAAATAAAAATTGAATTCTGTGCCAAGCCTCCTCATATTCAATTTGTGATCCACTCTAAACCCCAGTCCTTTCCAGCAATATTACCACTAGCCAGTTATTTCCCATTTTATAGTTATACATTTGATTTTTCCTTCCTAAGTGAGGTACTTTGCACTTGTCTTTATTAATTGCTTTTTTGATTTCTGACCAATCCTCCAATTTGTTGAGGTCATTTTGAATTCCAATCCTGTCCTCCAAAATGCTTGCAACCCCTCCCAGTTTCCTCTCATCTGTGGATTATATAAGCATTCTCTACACTCCATTATCAAGGTCATTGATGAAAATATTGAGTTGTACTGCACCCAGGACT